TTTTTTTAAATCCTGCAATAGCAGGGTGGTATATCCCTTTAATGCCAGCACTCAGGAAGCAGAGGCAGATGATCTCTGTGAGTTCCAGGCCAGCCACAGCTACATAGGAAGATCTTTACTCAAAACCATACCAAACAAAAAACCTGTAACAAGCGCACTGGAAGATCTTTTTACAATTAAAATTAATTGTGGGTGCTTTGTTGTTGTTTTGTTGTTTTTGTTTTTTTGTTCTGTTTTCTTGAGAGGATGTCAACTTTGTAGCCTTGGCTGGCCAAGAGAACACTGTGTAGGCTAGACTGGCCTTGAACTCACAGAAATCTGACAGCCTCTGCTACCACATCAGACTGAGTTTGTTGTTTTTGTTTTGGTTGGTTTGGGTTTTGGTTTATGTGGTAGACAAGCAGGCAATAGCAAGTCTGTATTTATATATATTTATAAACCTTTTTTCTGCTCTTGGGGATTGAACCTAGGATCTCATGTATCAAGTACTCTATCACTGAACTCTATTCCCTCAACCAGTCTACACCCTAATGATAAAAAAGAAAAGAAAGAAAATGACGACCAAGTAAATGGATTTGGCCCTGAGTACACTGTGAACTTTGAAAACTTGGTTTGAAAGCTTACACCTTGAGTAGGCTTTAAATACTTCAGAGAAGGGAGGTGATTTGGCACAGGCGGTAAAGAACAGTATAAAATTGCATCGTTTTTCTCCCTTCTCCCTCTATTAAAATCTTACAAATTCACGTTACAGGAGGCTCTCTTTCCCCCAGGAATTACTCAATGCAGAAGCCCTTCAAAGTGATACTAGAGACTTTGGAAGCACCATGGATGGGTTTTATGATCAGCAAGTCCCTTTTATGGTTCCAGGGGTAAGTTGATGTGGCTTTTAGTTTATTTTTGCCCTCGTTGATATGGACCTGGTCCTTACAGGGGAAGTGGGCTGACCTTGGACCACTTAACTCTGAATCATTTGTTGACCTCTTTCAGAAATCTCGGTCAGAGGACTGTCGAGGGCGACCTGTAATTGATAGAAAGAGGAAGTTTTTGGACACAGATCTGGCTCATGATTCTGAAGGTAATGAAGTACCCCCTTTCCTCCTGCTGTAGCCTCCTCAGAGCACCCCTGTAGGCTGGGACTGCTCTCCTCCTTAGCATAAGAAATGTCCTCAATCATTTGTTTTTAATTGCAGAGTTGTTTCAGGATCTTAGTCAACTTCAAGAGGCTTGGTTAGCTGAAGGCAAGTTTCTTGACTGTCCTATTTTCCATATAAAACATTTTACTGTTCCTTTTAGTAAGACATAAAGGTCTAATGTAATAAACCTCTTTTCCAGCACAAGTTCCTGATGATGAACAATTTGTCCCAGATTTTCAGTCTGATAACTGTAAGTACCTTTCTAGTGGTGACACATTTGTTCTGAAATTGTTTGGTCTTTGGTTATTCTTATCTAGAATACTCTTTCAGCCATAGCCAGAAGATTTGGATAGTGGTATGCATGCACTTTCTTTTAATAATTAAGGGTTAATCGTGAAGATTTGTTTCATTCCTTTTTGAAAATGTTTCTGACTCTTTTGAAGGCAAGATTTATTAAACATAGTTCAGTGAAATTTCTTTTTACCGTGAAAATATTGCAAAGTTTGAAGTTCTAAACTGTAAGTTAATATATAAGATGTGCCAAGCAGCTTAAATCTATTTTTATTTGTGTGTGTGCGCGTGTGCATGCATGTGTATGTGTGTGCACATGGGTGAAGATGCTGACAGCACCAGAAGGGGGTGTCAGATCCCATGGTACTGGAGTCAGAGGTGCTTGTGAGCTGCCTGACATGGGTGCTGGAAACCTAACTTTGGATCCTCTGGAAGAGCAGCAAGTGCTCTTAATTGCAGAGCCATCTCTCCATCCCTCCCAAACATCTATTAATTGTACATTTTCTTAAATCTTTTCATATATATGTATATAGATTAAGTCTTTGAACTGGGGTAGCTCAATGATCGAGCACTTGCCTAACATGCACAGGTTCCAGGTTCAAACCCCAGCATTGCAAAAAAGAAAAAAAAAATAATTTTAAATTAAGATATTGATGCCATTGATTAGTCTGACATTTCTCTTTTTTTTATTACTTTTTTTAATGTGTATGTGTGTATTGCCTGCATGTAGGTAAGTGCACCCTTAATGCTAGGGGCTCGTAGAGGACAGAGGCTGTCAGATCCCCTGGGACAGTTGTTAGCTGATATGTGGGTGCTGGGATTCGAACCTAGGTCTTCTGTAAGAACAGCCAGTGTTCTTAACCGCTGAGCCATCTCTCCAGCCCCTCTTTTTTTTTTTTTTTTAAAAAGCACACACTTAGTGGAAAATTCCAGTTAATTGTGGCTTCACCCAACTTGCCAATTTTGTTTCTTCTGCACTAACAAAGAGTGACTTGATTTGCCCTCACTTTTCAGTAGTTGCTATTAGAGAAGAGTAAAACCTTTTTCTTAAAATGGTCATTAGGTACTCATTACTTTCAATAATAAAATGTAGTGAGGACCGTTACAGATGGCTCTTGGTGCTGGTAGGGCCATGGGTAGCCTTGCCCTGAGCTTACCCGGCTGTCCTCAACAAGTTGGGGAGTTTTATGGTCCAGGCAGAGCTATCAAGGACAAAGCTGGCTGATGAAATCTGAGCAACACAAAGCTGCTCTAGAGAGCATTAGTCACTGGCGAATGAGCAGGTTTAGGAGAGGCCTGGAGAAGATGCTGCCTCTCTTGAGAGTTGCATCAGAGAATTTCATGTCTTAGTCATAGTTTATAATAGCAAGCACCTGAGCCAGCCTGGGATTTGATTTCTCATTTTGCACCAACAGATTCTTTCCAGCTTCGTTTTATCTCTGGGGTGTATGTGTGCATGTATGTGTAAAAATGCCACTGGGAGAGATGGTATCTGGGTGTGTATAAAGCTGGGTTTTCTAAATTCTATTAAGGAAAAGAACAGAGGTACCAGCTAAACAGTTTCTAATGTCCAAGGCAGAATGCCAGGAAGCTTTATAGATAAGAACCTATAGACGCATGGTTACTTCAGTTTAGTCACAGTTCAGTCAACTTGTGGATGTTGTCTATACAAAAGGAAATGTGTTTGCTAACTATTGCCATTTGATTGTTTCCAAGTGATTGGAGAGTTTGCCACTGAAAGGCTAAAGAAACATTACCTGTGTGTATCTGTGTCTGTGTAAGATGAAAGACAGAATCTGTAATTAAGTTAGGAGGCTGTGTGTTGACAGTTTTGCCCAGCCTTTCCAGTTCTTGCTCCAAAGCAACAGAAATTGCGAAACTGCAGAAGTTCCTTGAAATACTTTTATTACACTTCTGTTTCTCTCCAAAGAGTTAAAGGGGAGGAGAGGGGGAGATGACTGCACTCAGATTGATTGCATATGCTGTCTGTTCTTTAGAGAAGGATGTCAGCAAGCAGGATTTATATCTGAAGAAAGGTTTATCTGTGGGATAGACTCAAGCAAAGAAATCAATAAATGTGTCTTGGTTCTTTAGAGACAATTCCTAGTCAGCAGATGGAATGTGCTAAGTTCTTTAACTAGAATACCATACCTTAAATGGAGATGCTTTGGGGAGGGTGTTCCTGCTTACCACATACAATGTGGTTTTTGTTTTGTTTTTACTTTGTTTGCTTTTTGCTATAACGGCTTTTATGTACTTTAAGAACAAAATAGATGGTTGAGCAGCCTAGAGAAGACTTTTAGTACTTCCTCTGACTCTTAATTCGTAAGATGGAGTTTATGAAAGGATAGATTCAAATCAGTTGACTTGCTGGAGAGGTTAAACAGGAGCCCCCCCAGTGTGGGTGGGGTAGCCTAAGCCTTTCATTCAAGCCGGCATGCATGATTATAGTTCGTGTTCAGACTGACAGGGAATCCCTGGAAGAGCTGGTAGTACCCACAGGTGTCAGGAGTACAGACACCTTATCTCTCTAAGTGCTTTCCATAGCCTTGTGTGGAGTGCTAGCTGCTCCCACTGTCTTCTGGAAAGAGCCATTTAGGTAGCTCAATTTCCAAAAGAGGTTATATAAATCTTCTGGCTATGGGTACCCTGCCCATAGGCATCCATCTGTAAATGTGATTTGAAGAAGTGAAACCATCGTAATTCTTACAGAAATGCTTAGCTTTCCTCTGGCTCTACATTATCTCTGCCTCACAAATACAGATATTAGTAAAGGATACCTTACTTTGAAATTTCTTTTTTTAACATTTTTATTACATCTTGTTTATTATAAGTGTGTATATGTGCATGCTTGTGGAGGTCAGTCGACAACTTGCAGGAATTGATTCTCTCCTGCCATGTGGGTTCTGGAGATTGAGCTGAAGTTGTCAGGCTTGGCAGCAAGTGCCTTTGCTGAAGCATCTCGCTGGCCCTTTTTTCCATTTTTAAAAAGTTGTATGTGTGTGTGTGTGTGTGTGTCTGTGTCTGTGTCTGTGTCTGTGTCTGTGTCTGTGTCTGTGTCTGTGTCTGTGTCTGCCTGCCTGCCTGCATGCCATGGCTTGTATGTGGAGGTTAAAGGACAACTTGTGGGAGTCTCTTCTCTCTTTCCACCATGTGGGTTCCAAGAATTAAACTCAGATCATCATGTTTGGTGACCAGCACCTGTTCGATCTCAGCCATCCCACCAGCCCCTTAACCTGAAAGTTCTTTAAACATCAAAGTCAGGCTAGGCGTGGTGGTGCATGTCTTTAATCCCAGCACTCGGGAGGCAGAGGCAAGAGGATCTCTGTGAGTTCAAGGCGAGCCTGGTCTACAGAAATTGTACCATCTAGGACCCAGGACCTCTGCCAGCACCTCCCCTCACTAACCGCTTGGTCTTGAGAAATGACCTTGAAGAGCCAAGATTGTTTGAGCTGGATCAAACAATTATCCCTTGTAGAGATAATCTTAGCCCACTTCTAACCCTATTTTCCAGAAGAGATAGTGTCAGTTTCAAAGAGCTAGAAAAACTGACCTGAAACTGACCTGTGATTTGGGGATAAGTGAGGATTAGGTGAAACTGACAACAGCAAAGGATTTTACAGTAATATCCTTAGGGAAAGCCACAGTTTCAGTCTCAGTATGCCAGATGGAGTCAGGGCTCTGATGAGGATCTAGGAGGAGACTCCCAGGAAGGCTTCAGGGAGACCACTGGTCATCTCATCCCACACTTTAGTCTTCCTTTCTGTTATCCTGAGGAAGATGCACTTACCTTTGTGCTTAGAGTTTTTCTATTTAGGATTTAGAAGAGATGCAAATCAGAAAAGTTGTTAAAACTGTCTTTCCTTAAAGAAGCATTAGTATGTGAATACATAAAACTGCATGTCCTGCATAGCTGCAAATAAGTGTGCTTTGTGTGTATGTGACAAAATGCACATATTGCCACAGAGCTACCAAATTATGGAATCTGGGCCTCTATGTAGATCTGTAAACATCTTTCCTATACATTTCCTTTTTGAGGGGCGGGAGCAGGAGGAAAAGGTTTATTTAGCTTACATTTCCAGAGTATAGTCCAACATTGAGGGAAGGTAGAACAGGAACTCAAGGCAGGACCCAGGAGGCAGGAACTGAAGCTGAGGAGTGCTGCTTTTTGTGTTTTTAGTTTTTATTGAATTTCTGTATTATTTTCATGCAGAACATCATCTTTATACTCCCTTCCTCTTTGGCAGTCTCCCATAGCCCCCCGACTGGAGTTCGTACATTCTGTCATTTGTGTTAAGGCCTACTATGTTAGTGTTCCCAGATGCCCCTCAGTGCAAGTTCAACCACTGGGATCTAGTCAGCCTATCTAGAGTCCCTCCCTTTAAGAAGATCAGCTCTTCCTCCTCACCCAGTAGTAATCAGCTGCCAATAATTCTTTGAATAAGATTGGGACCTACTGTTCCTTTCTACATTTTTGTGCTGGGTTTTTGTCTGCTTAATTTTGCATGGGTCTTTATATGACACCATTGCTGTAGGTTTGTATGAGAAGGGTCTCAGGCACCTGTAGGACTATTTCTGTATGGTCATGCACTTCCTCCCTGGCTCTTAAAATCTTTCCACTCCCTCGTCCACAATGGTCCCTGAGCCTTGGGTGGGTGGATTTTAACATAGGAGTCCTGTCCAAGGACCCACACTCTGCAGATTCTTATTCTTTTTGTGTTTAGGCCATTTGTAACCTTTGTGTTCCTGGTCTTCTCTTGCATGAGGGGACTTCATTAATGAGAGTTGAAAGATGCGTTAGTGTTCTCTTCATCCCTTGTTCTGTGTTCCCTGAGCCTTAGGTACAGAGGTTGCATTGTAGATGTGCCACTTAGGCTTGGGCAATTCACAGACAATCTCTGTGCATGACCAGTTGCGGAGCTCTGTAATTATCTGTCTCTTCATCTTTCCTATACATTT